TATATATACTGTATCTGTGAAAACCCCGTCCTGATACCTGCCTGGTTTCTCTCTGCAGTAAGTTACAATCTGTCCTTAGGGCCCTGTCACACTAGACACCTTATGAAACATTTTTAATGTCTAAATTGCTAATAAAAATATATATTTGATCAATTTGTTAGAACTACATTATGTACACACCAAAAATAATCTTCCTGTTGATTTTTTTAAATTCCATCTTTAATGTAGATGTCTTTAAAATGTTCATAAGTTGTTTAGTGTGACCTGTTTAATGTGTTTAATGTGATCTGATGTCTCCTCCCTGACTTTGCTCTCTCTATGGTGGCAATAAAGATTTATTTTAAACATGTGGAAAGCAAGTGAGCACAACTTCTGCACAGAAACAAAAAGATTGGACATTAACTAAATAGTAGGGATGTAAAAAAGGTAACAACTCTTATTTACTAGCTAAACATGATATATTAGCATCATTTAGCTGACATTATCTGCAGCTCTGCTCAGGTGATCTGCAAGTTTAACACTGCTGTTAGCCTGCGCATGCTCGTGGTGCATTTAAAGACGGCTCAGAAAATCACGTTGAGCCTGGTCTATAGTGGATGTGTCGCCCTGGGCGCGAGGAGGCTCGTGCCAATAGTGACGCATTTGCGCCGGCCCCGCCCCTGCACGTTGGCCCTGCCCCTGCTGTTGTGGCACGTGGTAGTGCACCATCCAAACAGTTTGTTTGATCGTCAAGATTTTGCTCTCCTGTTTACAGCATTTCACAAGTTATAAAGTTTACTTCCATGTGTTCTTTTGGAGAAATCTACAACAACATAAACGCCGGGTATAAACTGGCGAGGGTGCACACGCACTGAGGGAGTACTCACTAAAGCTGAGCCTTTACTACATGTTAAAGGGATCCATAATTAGTTGTAACATTAGACTTTATTTGATAAACCGTAAGATAAAGACTGTAAAATACTGTAGGCCGTTTAGTTTTTATCATTTTTAAACTAAAAGTTTTAAAATATATTACACGGACGGGGCCATTTTATTTACACACAAAGCATTCTGGGTAAATGATGACGTGGATAGGTCCTCGGTGTGAGGCTGCTAGCGAGCTATATCCACC